TTCCACAGACGTAGTCGATTTGATTCCTGTGTATTCCATCTGGTGAGGTCCAAGTGTATAGTTACTGTTTATGTTGTTGAAAAAAGGTATTTGCGATGAGGAAGTCATTGGTCTTGCAAAATTCTATCATGCGATCTGCAGCATCATTTCCATCACCAAGGCCATATTTTCCAACGACCAATCCTTCTTGTTTCCTACTTTTGCATTCCGGTTGCCAGTAAGAATCAATGTATTTTGACTGCATGTTTGATCGACTGCAGAAGTTGGTAAAAATCTCCCATTTCTTCGTCTTTGGCATTAGTGGTTGGTGCATAACTTTGAATAACAGTCATATTAACTGGTCTTCCTAGTAGGTGTATGGATATTATCCTATCACTAATAGCATTTTACTTCAGGATAGATCTTGAAATGTTCTTTTTGACGATGAACATGATTCCATTCCTCTTCAATTTGTTATTCCCAGCATAGTAGATCAGATGATTGTCTGATTCAACATGGCCAATACCAGTCCATTTCAGCTCACTAATGCCTAGGATATCAAAGTTTATACATTCCATTTCATTTTTAACAATTTCCAATTTTCCTAGATTCCTGCCTCATACATTCCACGTTCCAATTATTAATGGATGTTTGCAACTGTTTCTTTTCATTTTGAGTTGTGCCACATCAGCAGATGTAGGTCCAGAAAGCTTGACCCCATTCATGTCATTTAGGTCGACTCTATTTTGAGGAAGCAGCTCTTTCCCAGTTGTATTTTGAGTGCCTTCCAACCTAAAGGGTTCATCTTCCCGTACTATATCGGACAATGTTCCGCTGCTATTCATAAGGCTTTCACTGGCTAATTTTTTTCAGAAGTAGACCATCAGGTCCTTCTTCCTCGTCCATTCTGATTTGATGGCACCTAACAAGAACAACAAACAATCTAGCCTTTGCTGGCTCCAATCTCTAAATGTTGACTCAGTCCTGCCTTGTTCCCATACTCTTTTCTATCTTCTCTCACGGCCTTGGTGATCCCACCAAGCCTCAGGCTTTATATTTCATTATATGCCAACAAATGTATATCTCTAGCCAGACCTCCCTAAACTCCATATTTGCAAATTCAACAGTCTACTCAAATTTCTAACAGACATCAAGGTGCTACCTAAATGTTTAATAGACATGTCAGCCTCTAAATTATCTCCTCCTTAGATAGATAAACTTTTTGTCTCAGTAAATGGCAATTCCGTCCCTCTAGTTCTTAGGCCCAAAACCTTGGAGTCATCCTTGACTCTTCTCTTTCTCTCATGTCTCATCAGCAAATTCTGTTGCCTCTATCTTAATTATATATCCAGAATTTGACTATTCCTGTCTATGTCACTGTTAACATCCTAGTCTAAGTGACTATTCATATTTTGCCTAAATTTTAACTTGTTTTCATGCCTCTACCATTTCCACCTACAGCAGAATCTGTCAACCTCCGCACTAGTGACATTTTGAGCTGGATAACTCTTTAATGTAGAGGGCTGGCCTGTGCATTGTACAATGTTTAGCAACATCCCTGGCCTCTACCCACTAAATGCCAGTAGCACACCTCCCCCATCTGTGAGAACCAAAAATGTCTCCAGACATTGCCAAATGTTCTCTGGGGGGCAAAACTGCCCATGATTGAGAACTACTACCCTACAGTATATTTTCATCCCAGCCACAAGAATGATCGTCTCACCCCATAAGCTATATCATGTAATGCCTCTGGTCAAAACTGACCAATAGATTTCCATCTCACTCAGGAAAAAAACCAAAGTCCTTACTATGGCCTGCTGGATCTACATGATCTGACACTCATCCATTATTCCTTGACCTCATCTCTTACTTGTCACTCCCACTCTCACTCTGCTCCAGCCACGCTTGCCTCATTGCTGTTTCTCAAATACATCCATTACAATACAAGAGCTCCACCTCAAGGTTTTTGCACTTTGTTTTGTTCCTTCTGTCTATAGCCCTCATTCCATTATATCCATTCGGCTAACTTCTTCACTCCCTTAAGTCCTTTGCTCAAATGTCACCTTTCTAACAAAGCCCTCTGTGATCATCCATTTAAAAACTTCAGACACGTCTGCCAGCCCCACACGCTTTCTATTCATCCTTTCTAGCTTTATTTTTAATGGCACTTCTCTCCATCTGATATGCTATACATTTTACTTATTGCTTTAACATGTCTCCGCTTGACAGAATGTTGTAGAAGAGAAGGAACTTTTGCCTTTTCTATTCACTACTGTATCCCCATCACATAGTAAAGTGTCTACAATACGGTAGGCACTCAGTAAACACCAGCAGAATAAGTGAGGGAGGGGGGAAGGAGGTGCGTAGGGAGGGAGTAAGGAAGGCATGTAAGAAGGAAGGAAGGGAGGGAGAGGGAGGAAGAGTGGAAGAGGACTTGGAAACTATCTTAGATGGATCTGAAGGGTCAAGGCAGCCACGGCTAATATCTATAATGTATCTACATGGATCATTGATAGAGACTGAGTTGGTTTCCACAAAATTTGTTTTTCAAAAATATAATTCATAATGTACAACAAAAGCTAAGGCTATGTCAAAAAGCTTCTGCTGTTAACGATTTTTATGTAGGATTTCATGTAGAAAGTGTACTTCTAAAGCCATTAACATATAGATCTAATTATCTATAGATGCATAAAATACATAGAACTTTAAGAGAAATTTTACAAAGCACATGTGCTGTGGTAACTACCCGAAACACATAAAAAGGAGTGTGCTGGGTTAAGTCAATCATTCAATTATATACACCATAAGGTAGCTTAACAAGTAAGAGTAACGGTGAACAAAGCTCTTTTCTACAGAGGAAAGCCTACATAGTTCAATTATGAGTGAAAGAGAGGAACAGAAATGTTTCCTGCAGCAAACTGACAGTTACACAGAACCCCCTGAAGTTGTAAATTGAGTTCCTCTGCTAATTACTGGTCTGAAGGGGACAAAGAAAGATTCACATTTTATTTCTCTTGCTGAATTTGCAACATAAGCACTTGTGAATTTTACACTAGGGTCAAGCTGTGAAATTCCAGTTTGTTTTATCTAGAGTAGAGAACAGAGTCACCTCCAATGCCAATGAGGTCCAGGCATGCCTTTCTGCCTTGGGTGACTACCAGGGAGATTTCAGTGTAACAGATTCTAATGGGGAACTTGATATAGAGGGCAAAAAAAGGAAAGAAAACAAAACAAAACATAGGACCTATTCAAAATAAAATTTTGCTTATGGATTCTAAGAGCACATATTTTAAAATGAGCTCAGAATTTTATAATATCACTTGTAAAAACTGTATGCCACACCCATTGATAACAGTATCAACTAGTACTCAGTCTACTTTCTGAACTACTCATAGTTAAGACCAGTAATGCTACATAGCAGGCAAGTAAGTTAATGAAATAGGCCCAGTTCTCCAGGGAGGAGAACCTGTGGTTCAAACGCTAACACTTTGATCAAGTAAGGACTTCTTTCTTACCAATGAGCAATACCTTTTATGTGGATGCTGATCAAAAATGCTCTTGGGAAGGAAAAAAAGGATGAGGAGGGGGAGGTGGGGAAAAAAGGACTGTTGTGATGTAATATTTCAAAACAGATGTTCTCAGAAGGAAAAATAACTAGCATTTATAATGGATATACATTTTCTAACTTTCTGGAAAGTCAGAAAAAATATGTTGCAAAAAAACAGCCCCATTCAAATTAGGGTAACAAAATTAATTCATTTATTCATTCAACCAACAATTATTGAGCATATTCTCTTTGTAAAAGGAGGAAATATAAGCACATTCATCATGAACACAAGCTCCATTAATATTGTAGTCCCCCTTCTCTCTTCTTTTTATTGTATTTACTGTAACTCTGTATTCATACTGTGACTGAACAAAAATAACCTAAGGGATAAGTAATACATTGTGGCCCAATATCTGAGAATTAGGAAAGAGAAACTAATCAATGAGCATCTTCTCACTGTAACATACTGAAGACTTCGGGAGTCATAGAGACATAGTTTGAAATTCTACCTCCTTCACTTACTGGCTGTCTGGATCCATGAGTCTCAATTCCCTTGTATGGAAAATGATGTAGCCATACCTATTCTACATGGTACTTGTGAAGATTAAATGAGATGTTGGCAAGAACCTCATCTGTAGCATCTTTTCAATAAAGTATTTTAGTTATCTTTTAGAATCCTAAACTTACATGATTTCTTTCTTAATTCCTGTGAGCACTTTGTGGCAAGACTCCAGAAGCACTAAATTTTATTTTACCACTTGAGAAGAAACTCTATTTCATGCTCAGAGTCTCTACAAATATAACCCTTGGAATTTTTATGCTTTCCAAATGTCTTAACCAAGAAATCCCAACTTGAAGGAGCCCTCCAATAAAATAACCAACAAAATTCTTACCGAGTTTTGGCAAGGAATAGGGCACTTTAAAGTAGTCTTCATAAAATTCTATTAATCTCTTTGTTATATGGAGAGCATAGTCCCCGGATCCTCTTCTGATAGCATCGGGTCTTGCATATAATCGCACCTAATTAAAAATATGTGTATAAGTTACTTTAGCCTTTTGGTACTCAGGTTTTATCTTTCCTGCAAATATGAATCTACACAAATTACTTCAAATAATACAAAAATTAAACAGTATTCTTGATCATATATCAAAGCATTCTGTAGCAGAAAGAATCAAACTTAAACAATTGAAGTAGCCAAGTTAAGCAAGTTACAATTTCCTCACTTTACAAGACGACATAGAGAAGATTTATACACCTTGCATCAAAATAAATATTCAAAGTTATCACTTGCATGTGCCTGCTAGAGATATGAAGGTATGGTGGATTAGTATAATGGGTCCCTGACCATGCTGAAAGTAGGCAGGATACGGTGGCTTGGCAGGAGAGAAAATTCATGGTTTGTTAAATACACATTGTAACAAGATTTGGAAGTATTACCAAGCTGAGCAAAAATATAATGTATGCTGCCTTCTTTTCTTTGTAAACAACTGTCTTTATTCCCAATATGCAAACTAGGGATAGAAAATTCTCTCATGTACATAAAAGATCTCCATTCTGGAAGGCCATCTGCAACTGCTCGGGGCTTCAAAACCAGCTGAAGTAACTCATATTTCTAACACAATCCAGATACTTAATATTGATTTTTAAATCAAGCATTGTATATTATCTCGTCCTTAGCAAAAAAAGAGCCTAAGGCAAATAACATAAAAGTGAACAAAACTAACAATTGTACAGAAAAGGTTAAAATGAAATTAGTTTTCATAAAGCTATCCAGCATCTTTCTTTCCAAAGGCTAAAGCTATTTTTCACAGATGTGGTCCCTAATCCTCATATCAATTGTGTGAATAAGAGCTATGCATTTTGTGGAGTAGTACAGCACAGTGGCCTGGGAGTTGGATTTTAGTCCTATTCTACCACTAAAAAAGCTGGATGGTATTGAACAAATTACTTAACCTGTTTGGATCTCAAATTTTCTCATTTATAAAATAAAGGTGTTTATTTTACCACCAGAAACCACCAGATGGTCTCTACAGTGCTTTTCCATTCTAAAACATACTGCTCCCAATCCCATTTTACAGATAAGACAGTTGATGGTTTTTTCTTTTTAAATCACTATAAAAATAAATATTTCATTCAGTATATGGAAATGGACTTTTATATTCAACAAGATGACAAAGGAAAGCCGTACTCAATCATAACATATCATTTGATTACACAATTAACTCTTTATTATCCATGTTAAAAAGAGAGAGGTAAAAAAAAAAAAAACCTGTTGCTGTCGAGTCACTCACAGTGGTCCCATGTGGCACAGAGTAGAACTGCTCCATAGGGTTTTCTTGGCTGTAATCTTTATGGAAGCACTTCACCAGGCCTTTCTTCCACAGAGCTGCTGGGTAGGTTTGAACCACCAGCCTTTAGGTTAGCTGCCGATCACAAACCATTTGCATGACCCAGTGGTGTGTATAATCAAAAAGTATAGAAAGTCAAGGAAAATACATTTTGATGTTAGCTTAGAAAGACCTGTAATTCATTAACATGTTTACTGAATAACATATTTACAACAAAAAAGGCTGACAGAAACATAGCCTTTCCTATCAATCAATTCCACCAGTCAGTCAAGCCATCTGCAATGAATTCAACAATTACTAAAATTGTGAAGCTACTGTTCACCCAGAAACTAAATCAAATATCAAATTTAGTTCAGTCACCTACAGTTTTAGCTGGCAATAGTATAAAACCAAAACTGCCAAGACAGCCCATCTGAAAGAGCAGAACCTGATACTCTTGACACTCTCAGAGAGGCAGTTGTTATGATTCCCTGTCCCTGACATCAACTGCTCGATAAACATTCAATGTCTTAAGTACAGTACCCAAGAGGTAGACTGTAAGACAATAATGAGTGAGTGAGTGATTTAATAAGGAGGGGCTTCCAGAAGAGACCTACAAGGGAGTGGGGGAAGCAGTAAGGTAAGGCAAGAAGCTGTGCAATTTCAGGTGAAGTCCTGAATTCAGACTGATCCGACAAGGCCTCTAGAGTGTAAACTACACTGCAGAATTTGTCCTGCCTTGAGGCAAGATTGCTTGGCTTCCATACTCCTGCATCAGTCAGTCATTGGCTGCTGGTTGCCAAGGGGAGGACATAAAATCCCAGGTACTCTTGGTTCTTGAAGCATTTTGGCAATACAACTTCAGTAGCCCAAGGGCAGGCCTTTGGAAGTTTCAGGTACGTGCCACTGGGAACAAAGCAGCGAGACCTGAGAGATGGGCACACCAAACAGTAAAGGGGATATAAACTGTGCAACAACAGTATCTATTACAGACAGTAATTCACTCATGCTTGTGTTTATTCATTCAACAGCTATTTATTTAGCACCTGCTTTGTGCCATGGTCTGGCCTAAGTATTTTAAATTTAATGAAGAAGACATGTTCTCTAAGCAAACGAGGTAACATAGCATTATTGAGGAAAAAACAAAAAAGCAATGAAGATGTAATCACCATTCTGAAAAAGCTTACCATTTATTGGGTAAGTTAAGATTTATATTTGCAACACTTGCCATGTGAATTGTAAAACATAAACGGCAAATGGATATTGCAGAAGAATGGATAGCTTTCAGAAGGTTCAAAGTGAAGTAACTAGTGAACTCCTGTTAAAACTACAACCAGGACCACTACAAAGTAATGGAGCAAGGGTCACTGATTTTACTCCTAGGAAGCATCACTGATTTTGTAGAAACACAGCCGTTTCTATCAATCAGCTCCACCAGTCAGTCAAGCTATCTGCAGGACCAGACAAGAGAAACATGATTAAATCAATCAGGTTGTCGAGATTTGATGTAAATGATCCAATCTGAGTGAGAAGAAAACATACACATGCTTAGCAGCGTCTCCATTTATTCATTTGAACATTTACTGCACGCCTGCTGTGCGCTAGGCATTGTACTAGGGCATAGAGAGAGAAGAACAATAAAAGTATCACAAAATGAACAAGATGTTTATACTTACTACTCTTATGAGGTTCACAGCATTTGAAAAGACAAACAAATCAACAACAAAAATACAATGTGAGAATTATAACAGTGTACTCTGCCTTGCCTCCTATTATATCAGATGAACTGACTAAGCTACCATCCAAGGTCAGGCACTCCATATTCCATCCCCTTTTGCCTATTCAAAGATATCACTGCCAAAATTCTCCCCTTTCTCCTGCATCACCAATTTATGCCTGCATCCTGAATCATTCTCATCCATGAATACATACTGTTTTGTCTCCCATGTTACAAAAAAAAAAAAAAAAAAAAAAAACCTTGATCCCAGTTCCTCCAGTTATTGCATTATTTTTCCCTATTATAGCAATACTCCTCAAAAGAGTTTTCTATATAGTTAAAATAAACACATAATTTAACATCTTAACCAGAATGAAAGGGGGGAATACAACCTAGACATAAGTATAAATAGGATGTTTACCTATTTATACTCCCTGTTTCTAGTCTCTCTTGAACTGTAACCAGGATTTCATTCCCAGTACTGTATCAAAACTACCCTCATCAAATTCATGGTTATTAACAACCTCACCATACATGCTTGCCCTATCAGCTACACTTGACACAGTTGATAATTTCCCTTCTTTGAGACACTTTCTTTACTTGGTTCCTGTCTCACTTTTTCTTCTATTTCACTGACCACTGCTTCTTAACCTCTGGCTGGTTTCTCCTCATTCTTCTCATTTCTTAATGTTGGAGAACCCCAGGTTTCCATCCCTAGACCTTGTCCATAGACTGTCTACACTTAGCACCTTGATTACCACATCTAGTCTCATGATTTTAAAAAGCATCTAGAAACTGAAGATCTCCCCTATAATTTTAGACTCATAAATTCAGCTGCCCACTTGATACCTCCACTCGAATATCTAATAGGCATTTCAAACTTAACATGTTTAAAGCCATACCCCTGATTACACACACATACACACACACACCCCTACTCCTCCTGCAGTCTTTTCCACCTTCCTTAAAGGTAATACCTTCCTCCAATATTGGAGGATATTAAACCAGAAAGTGACAAAGTTAGTTTTTCATTTCAGAAAGATCATGTCAGTGCCCTAAACCTAGTGAACTGAGGTTCAGGGGGCTGCTTGTTAAGACTGCAAGCAGAGAGTGAATCAGAAAAACAAGAAAAGTGAAGAGCTAAATAGTGAGAGGGAAGACTAGAAAGTAAGGAGAAACTGCTCAAGCATATTACAAAAGGGCCTATAAACTGAAATACAGAATATGACTTTAATGCACAAGCAGGCCATTTAAAGATTTTAAGCCACAGAATGGCATGATCAGAATTTTTAACAGATTACATTAGCTGCAGTGTAGATGATGTATTAAAAAGGACTAGGAAAAAATGAAAGGAAATGAGTTAGACTATTGCAGAAGCACAGATGAAAGATGATGGTGGTTTGCTCAAGAGAGATGGAAGCAGGAATGTACAGAAATGGATGGATTTATTCAGCTTATCCTAATACTCTTTTGAACAAGTCCCTTGGTTATCAAGTAAAGCAAACTGTAGACCCAGTTTCATTTAAGAACAATTATTCACCTTATCTGTGCATGTCTCACTTCACTGCCCTGTTGTAGTAAGTGAGACTCAGTTGAATTATGGGGAAAGAGTCCAAAATATTTCACAAACTAGGCAGTTCCCTTGTGGTTAATCAAGAATTTGCTGTATAATAATTTATAGTGTGAAAAAAAAATCACAGTCATTTTCTTCTTTTAGAGTAACTAGGTTCTACCTAATCATTACATAGAAATTAAATCTTCATAAACATAAAGCAATAAACTATTTATCACTTAAAAGCAATAAAATCTTTTATTACACCTGCTTATTTGTATTTCTGACATTCTACAATAAAAGCTCAGCATTAAAAAGGTAAATTGTTTACTTTTTTTCCACTAGGCTTTCTCTCTCCTACAAAGTTTCTCCCAACAACCAGTATGAACCAAGTTGCCCATTTAGTCCAATGGGAAGGACACT